TATTTTTTATTTTATTTTGATTTCAGATTTTTTTTTAATATACATTTAACATAAACATCTAACACACAAAAGAGCTTTATTATTTTGTTAGTTATATGCCTATTTGAGTAATTTTTTTCCACCCTTTATATAGTGATTATGAGTTTACTTTAATTTCCTTACCATTTATTTATACATATATTTTAAAAACTTAATCCTTTATAGAAGGAAGTTTTTTCTCATGTCTTTATTTATACAACATTTGCATGCTTTTTAATTGAGTTTCTTTACATTGAAAATAAAATATAAAAAGCAAAAGTTTACATATTTTTATGTCTTTACATAAAAACAAATATGTAAAAACATAAAAAATAAATTTTAAAACAAATCTAATTTGAAAAACGAAATAAAATACATGCATAAAACTAAATATGTAAAAAACATTTAGAAAACAAATTTCAAAATCAATAAAAACTTTTATTTCAAAACATGTGAAAACAAAATTGTAAAAAAATATATATATACGGACAAAATTTGATAACACAACTATTACTTTGTGCAAATTTGTAAAAATGAATAGTTAGGTAAGAAAACTGCAAGTTATGGTGATATAATAAACCAAAATAATAAATGGTAGAAAAAAACTGAAACAAAAATAAAATAAAAAGTAAACTGATATTTAAAAACAATAAATAGTAAAAAAACTGAAATAAAAAAAAAAGTAAAAAATCCGATATTTTAAATAAATAGAAAAACAATAAGAAATATTGAAAAATAAATAAAAAATGAAGAAAAATACTAATTTGGTAAATATTTTTCAAACTATACTAGATTGGAAAATATTTTTTTCAAAAACCCCATTTTGGTTAAAAACTCTTACAACCTGAATGCATTTTATTTGCTCAGCTTCATATTCTGTTATTCGTCTAATGCAGAAAATTTAGGAATTCAAATTAATAACATATTTAATATCTCATTAAATAAACAAAAATTGTATTCCCTTTTTTAAAAATTGAAAACAGGAATATAAAGCAATAAATTAGCATATCTTTTTAATCAAATAAAACAATCATTCTACCTTTAAGCCCTCCATCCTTATTCTTTGCATATATCCCGTTCTTTCCATACTTATAATTCCATTTTTACCCCTAACCCTTCAATTCTATCAAATCCGTTGACCGTTTATTAAAATTTATGAAAATTAGGAAATTAGGAATAGGAATAAATGAAAAATCTATATTATTTATAGATAGGGTGTAAGTGAGCTCAGCTACTCGTGAGCTATTCGGGATCGACTCGTTAAAAGCTCGACTCGAGATCGAATTAAATGAGCCTGAGCTGAGCTCGAGCCTAAACATGAGGTTCGTTTATTAAACGAGCTCGAGCCGAACTTCAATTAATGGGCTCGCGAGCCTCTCTCTCTCTCTCTCTATATATATATATATATATATATATATATATATATATATATATATATATATATATATATATATATATACACACGCACACACACACATGGAGGCTCGTTTAGGCTCGCGAGCCCACTAAATTGTTCATGAGCCGAGCTCGAGTTTCCTCACAGTTAAACGAGCCAAGCTCGTGTTTGGTCAGGCTCGGGCTCGGCTCGGCTCGTTTACACCTCTATTTATAGATAAATTCAAATCATTTTAAATGGAGTATTTAATCCCTTATAATTTGATATATTTAATCATTGACTTATGTTGAGCATTTACCTTTTCAACATTTCACCTTCCATCATCAAGTTTTACAGTTAACATCCTCCCATGAAACTCCATACCTTGAAACTCAACTGCCTTCATTGCTGAATTTTCAGCTATTGTAAGGTAAAAAAACAAGATTTTTTCAACATTTTAATAACGTTTAAAGTTTTAAAAGATATTAAATAAGGCGTTTATCTTTTAAATCTTAGACCATGTTGTATAAAGTCCGATTTGTTTTACAACCTTATGGTATTCATTGGCAGCCATGAATAATACCTCTATATGTCTTTCTGAAACAATCAACAAAAACATAAATTCCTTAATGTCAATAATTAAAAAAAACAGAGGTATTGATTGCTGAATACAGGAATTACGATCATTATACTCATTTATTTTGGATCATTTTGGAGTTGCAATTGCAGTTTCAGATCAACCTTGTAACATCCAAAATTTCAAACCAATTTAAACTTTTTTAAAAACATGTCAAGTTCATCAATATATTACAACTTTGTTTTCAAAACATTGATTATCATAGTCTTTTCCCAGAAACATGACATAATAGGAGGGGCGGTACGATCACGCTTTGGACTTGCCGCGATCCCTTGAGGTACCTGAAACAATAAACAGAAACTGTAAGCCCGAAAGTTTAGTGAGATACCCCAAAATACCGATACACATACAGTTCACATAGCGATATCAACATTAGCATATTACATCAATAAAACAGAACAACATGCACTGGGTCCACAACTTTACAAGCTGGACTACCCCTGGGCCCTCAGTACGAGTCTGGAATGCTTACCGGGCCCTCAACTTGTATCTGGAATGCCATTGAGCCCTCAGTACGAGTCTAGAATGCCTACCGGGCCCGCAGCTCGTATCTGGAATACTCTTGGGTTTGTTGGCTACCGCACGGAGCAGTACAACCTCAACCCACCCCACATAACATGTCGACATGTAATATATAAATGCACATACAGGTAATCAATCAGTATCACAGGCTGTCCTACAGATCTACCCGACTAGCATATCAACTGGCATACATTCCTAACTCAACTCAACGTATCAATGACTACTAGGATATAAAATCCAATGGGTTGGCCTTGGTGCCTTAGACCCCTTAGTATAGTGAGGATAACTCATCTTGTAACGCTGACTCACAGAAATAAGCTCCAACCCTCGGGTCCCTGTCACAAACTCCACCACCTATATTTATCACGAATTGTATACGTAAGTTTATGATCCTTCTAGAACTATCCTCAAAAGTCAAAGGGTCAACCTGGGTCAATGGTCAAAGTCAACAGGCAAGGTCAACAGTCCATGTTGACTTGACTCGCCGAGTTCCCTCGGCTACTCGCCGAGTTTTCTTGGCTTCCGGTGCACTCGCCGAGTCATCGAGTGACTCGTCGAGTTTCCTAAACGAAACTCGACGGGTACACACGCGTGCATAATTTTGGGGAAATTCATCCGACTCATCGAGTTGTTCATCAACTAGCTGAGTTTCATGACGATCTTCATCGGACTCGCCGAGTTGTTCATCCAACTAATCGAGTTCACTACTTTCTTCAGCAGACTCGTCGAGTTCACGACCTTCTTCATCAGATTCGTTGAGTCATCCTTGTAACTCGCCGAGTCCGTCTGGTCCTTTTTTCCATACAGACTTATTTTGAGCCATGCAGTGGCTCAAATTCATAGATCTAGGTTTCTATGGCACACTTATCACGTAAAGTCACAAACTTTACGTACATGCATTGCTCTTAAGGCTCTAAATGCCATATCTAAGCTCTTAATGGGTCTTTATGCCCAAGAGGGACCTCATGCATGATCAATTCTGCGACTTTATGTTGCTAGAGCTTGGAGAGGGTTCAGATCTGAAGTTACAACTTCAGATCTAACTCATTGTTCAACTTATCAACCCTTAAGGTCCATAGAAAACCCTAGAACTTCATAAAAAGGAAACTCACAGAAGAGATGGTGATTTAGGATACCTCTGGAAAATGATAACTGAGAATAGTGCTGATTTCCCCACCTTACTTGCTCCAACCTCCTCTTCCTTCAAGCCTTCTTCTTCCAAAATCTTCAAATCAAGCTTCACACACTCACCAAAGCACACACACACTCGAATCAGACTTCTCAGGGACTCTCTAAGATTGTAAAGAGGCCCAAGGGAGGCTAAGGCTCCTTTTAATAGGGACACAAACCTCGGTAATTAGGGTTTGACTTGCCAGCTCCTACTCGCTGAGTTCCACTAGTGGACTCGCCGAGTCAGTTACTTAATTTGCGATCCAATCCCGTTGCTACTCAACGAGTAGGGCAACCAACTCGTTGAGTAGGGCCAAAACCAAGAAACTATAATTGAACAATACTTGAGAATCGGGACGTTACAAGCCTTCCTATTTCAAAACGTCAATGAGAGACTGGATTTAATTTTTTATATAAAAAAAGACTTGAAAGAAAGCATACCAGTAGCTTTTTTTTGGATCTTCCTTACCAAGAACCACCATATGACCAATGAGCTTTGGCAATTACCCTACATGGACATTAACAATATAGCTACACGTCAAAAAAGATAAAAAACAACAAACAAAGTTATCAATGTCTAAGCTTTTCTTTGAGTAAATATCCAAAATGATTTTTTCATCATCTTTTTCTGCAAAGGCATGACAAGGTTTCACCAAAATCAAACACACAAACCCATAAATTTTCATGTGTTTTGCTATTAATACATGTGGAGACTATTGTATGAACAGGGAAAACAAAAAGAAACAAAACCATATTGTTGTATTAAATTCATTTTAGTTTCTAGAGTAATTGATCAAAACAGAGAAAGTTGATGAGGTCCTTTCTGCCATTTGTGCATATGCATAAGAGTTACCATAGAAATTAGACAAATTTACATTGCTTTTGATATATTAGTATATGTTTTACTGCATTTTTTATAAATTTCATTGTGCATATACGAACCAAAACTGGGGGTTTACTGACGTGAAACATAATCTGAATGATCTAGCTCATTTGTTTTGAATGGTTGTTAAAAAAATTTACATTTATGATGTGGCTACGATTTGTCAATAAATAAATAAATAAATAACTTATTAAAAACATGCTATTGTGGATGCTCTACTAAGATCTTTGAAAGTGAAGTATATTACCACTGAATGGCAATAACTGAAGCCTGATATTAGTTTGAAGAAAAACCTTGCTTGAAGATTCCATTAATCTTATACCCATGTGAAAAAAAATAGTAAAACAACAATTAAAGAATAATAACAAATTCGAGAAACTGCACCTCGTCCTCACTGAATCTGCCAACATTAGTAATCTTGTCGAATTCTCCTCCAGCTGCATACTCCATGACAATGGCCAGATGAGTTTCCGTTAATAACACCTGCACTTCTAAACATTCAGCATACACACATACAAACACATAAGCAAGCATGTAAAGAAATCTGTAGAGATAGAAACTAAAACAAAAGTTTGAAGGTTTATACTGTGTTTGATTCCTTGATTAGAAGAAAGAATGAGAAACAAAAAAAATACTAATTTTTTAATCATACCATACCTCAAATTTGTGCCATATGCTTATACATACCAAATCGACATCGAACAACCGAAGGTCTACAAAAATCCTTTCTTTAAGAAGAAGAAGAAGAAAAGTCAACAGCCCATTAGTTTTAATTAGAGGAAAAATTAGGGTAAGAAAAAGAAGAAAGTCGAAAATGAACCGTTTTCCTCACCAAATTGAGTTCGTCATCCATAAATTGAGAGAATGTTGAGATCGATTTTGAAGAAGTTCGGATAAGAAACATTCAATCGATGCAGGAAGTGGAAGAATCAGAAAGAATCCAGGCCTGAAGTGAAATTCACAAAAGAAAAAAAATGCAAAAAATCATCAATAATGACAAAAGCAAAACCGAATAACGAATGAAATCGAGAAAAAAATCGCTTCCGGGGAACATATTTCCATACCAACTTTTAAAGTCAACGAAGCAATGTTTCTTTGAATTGCCATCACCATATCACAAAATAAAGATTTAAGAAATTGGTAGTTTTATTAAAGAAGGGTATAGAGGAGACGGAAAGCAATTAGACGATGGCGGTGAGGAAGATACATCCGGAAGGTTCAAAGGGCCGCTATGTAAATAGTCGATTAGCTAGCAGTAGCGGTGGAGATGATTATAACAACACCGACTCATCCGACGGTTATTTGGCGGTGGGATGTCTTTTGTTAGCACCTCATTTGCAGCTGGGGAGGTGGAAGCACGGAACAACACATATCAAGCAATGATAAAAATACAGTTAAGGAAAAAAAAATCAGTTGAAAGTCCTCTTCACCAAAAGACTTCTAAATTAGTATCTATATAAATTATTTATAATTGTCACAAAAGAAAACCCACTAAAAAAAGTAAAAAAGAAGTTTTGATTTTGATTCAATCACAATCAACTGCTGATCATGTGGTACTTTTCAAAATTAGTATGTATTGTTTTGTCCCATACATGGGCAACTTAAAATGATTGTGGCTTTCAACAACTATACTTGTATAATGTTTTATTTTGACAGAAGCTAGAAAAAAAAAATAACACCAATTACAATGTAATAGACTAATTGCCAATAAAAAAAAATAACATCAATTACAATGTAATAGACTAATTGCCAATAAAGGGCATTGCAACCATTAAATACTCTCATCTTACAAAACATATGCCTAAATTCATTGAAAGAATGGTTAATATCATAAAAGAAGATATATATTAGGCTCATTCCGAATTAAACTTGAGTTTTTTTTTTCTAAAAAATACATTGTATTTATTTATTTATTTATTTATTTTCAATTTGGCTCTTTTTTGTAGGTTTATCTATACCATTTCCAGATCTAATTGTTGAAAGACTAAAACAAATGGTCACTGTGGTTAATTTAAAATTGTCACTTTGATCTAAAAAAGTTTGAATTAGCACCAGAGGTCCAAACTTTTCATTTTGTTGAGAGTTTTATACAATTTAATTCAAACTTTTTTGTAATGATGATTTTAACCTTGATTTTTTTCTGCTTTTTTAGTTAATTTATTTATTTAAATATTTTTATGATTAAAAGAAAAACACTTCTCTCTCTCTCTCTCTCTCTCTCTTTCTCTCTCTCTCTGGAACATCAATAAACACACAATCAAAACCCTTTGTTCATGTTTGACTGCCCTACCACTACCTAACAGTCGCCAGTGAAAGATCTGTAAACACCCTCGAAGCAACACCTCCACCAGACACCACCTATAACATCCGCCAAACACCACTTGTAACATCCTCATTTATTCTTATAACGTCACCTTCATCTCCTTATTACCGTCGTTGGAAACGCACATCTGTTTTTGAAAACCTCTTATGCTCGAGCCTTCAACCATCATTTGTAGATCTGGAAACCTGAACCCATCTTTTGTAGTCGCCGCCCTTGGTCGCAGATCTGGAACATTGCTATCGTAACTTATCGTTGGTGAGATCTTTAGCAACGACGCTACGAATTAGATCTGGAAAGATGAAGTCAAAAAAGTGACGAGCGTTAGGGAGGGAGGTTTCAGATATGAACAACCACCAAAGATGTATTTCTCCAGTTCGATATGTTGATGCTTGGTGGTATGAAGACGAAGGGTGGCATCATATTTTCCTAGATTGTTCTTTATAGCGGCCGACACTGGTGTCATCACCGGCCTCAATGACATTCTCTACGCCTGAGGTGTTTCTCACCTTCCTATCTCCACCACTTCCCTCATCATCGCCTCCTAGAGGTGGGTTTGCGGATTTACGGAGCATCACAGAGGTGGGTTTATAGGGTTTGTAGATATGAGAGAGAGGGAGAGAAGGGTTAACAGATCTAAAAGAGAGGGAGAGAAGGGAGACAATCTGAGAACACCATCCTTTTTCACCGGAGCTAAGGTTTTCGGTGGTGACTTCTTACGTTGTGTGACAACCCGATATTTCGAGACAGTATGATGGATCACAAGTGAAATTTAAATCAAAATTTAACTTTCCTAAAATCTTATTTGGGTAAAAAAAAGTAGTAGGAATCGTATCAAGGTTTTCGTACATATAAAGAAACCTAAAATCCGAGTTATAACGAAGAAGTTATGACCAACCGAAGATTCTCGGCGAAACCGGCAACACCGATTAAACGAAAAATGTGAAGTTTTAATACAATAGTTTTTAGCCTTAAGTATCTAAATGAAAGTTGTAGATAACATTAAACCGTAAATGTACATAAAAAGAACATCCAAATCTGACTTCGTATGAGGAAGTTATGATTTTTCTAAGTTACGAATATAGCAGTAGACAGCTAAAAACTCGAAATAGAGATCGAGAGACTTTTTGCCGACACAAAATAAATGAGAATCGAAGGTCTCCACAATAGTAGCGCAACGGTAAAAAGTCTGACGAAAACGGACGTCGGATGAAGAAGTTATGGATTTATGACGGAGTTTTCGTGTCCCGGCCTACTAAAAATAATATAAAGATAATATATCAATAATATAGTAAAAATAAAGTCAAAATTAGCCAATGGAGTCTAAACGAGAGTTGTAGAGCATAATCTCACCTACGCGTACATATAAAGAACGTCAAAAACGGAGCTCGGATGCGAAAGTTATGAATTTCTGAAGTTCAGGCACGAATCCCGAATCTATGTCAAAACTCACGACGTGAACCCTTTGAATGACCTTTCCAGAGCCACTTGACATGTGACGCATGCCATGACGATTTTGGATGAAACTCACGACGTGAATTATGAAAAACTCACGACGTGAGACCCAAAATTCACCCTATAAATAGGAATCGTGGGCAGCCGGCTTTGGTTGTTCATTTCTATCATTTCTCCTACTTCTACACCCTATTAAGCCCCTCTAAACTACCCCGAAGCCCCGGTAACACCTCCAACACATGATGCAAGTCCCGAAGTCCCGAGTTTTCCGAGAAATCGACTTCTTTCCAATCGAAGTTCTGCTCGACTTGCGTCTCACCTTCTTCAATCTACCAAGTGAGTTCATACCCGTTTCAAACACACTTTAAATACATTTTAAATGCTTTTATACTCTTTTAGGGGGGGAATACGAGTAAACATACGGTTATTATCGTGTATTTTATAAAGTTTCACTTCACTTATTTTATCGAATAAATCACTTGGAATTCATTACTACTATGGAAAACTCTTGTCATACTTTGCGTGCATTAGACTTATACAAAGTATATAATGATTTCAAAGTACCTTTCATTGTTAAGTCGTTTTATACATTCTAAAAACTTATGATTTTGCTTTGTCAAACATTGTGAAAAAGGATTAACTTTGCATACAAAACTATCACTTTAATATAGACTTAGCTGAGAATCCATGAGACGTGTATATCTTCAAACGTTACTTTTCTTTATTAGAAAGTAATGTTGCAAGTCCTGTCTATAACCAGAGTCTCCCGTTCGGAGAACGTGTCAAATGTGTATAGATCTATACGGGAAGTCATGATCCTGCGCCCTGACTGTTAGCTACAGTCCGTCTTTTGGGGTGACAGTTGTCATAACGCTGCGACGCCTGAAGAACGTCGTTACAGGCTTATTATGTTTAGTATGGTTATAAAACTCATCGGATATACAATTATTATGGTATTATGCTTTCATGAACGAGTAGCTATTAAAACTATTCTTCATCTAACAAATGCGATCTTCGTATAGCTTTATTATATAAATCTATGACACAACTTTTAAGAACGTCGGTTTCTTGCGATTTTCGGTCTTAGAGACTGCCAGTTATGCTAGGAAAATAAGGGTTTTTCCTGTATACAAACCAAACAACTAATAGGGAAATAAGGGATTTTCCTGGTGCAATTATTTACAACTTATAACATGAACATTCATATGCATTTCATACTTTTATAAGAAAATAAGGGTTTTTCTTGGAAAACACAACAATTCATATCTCAACCATTAGGGAAAATATGGGATTTTCTGGATCTAATACATTCACTTTCAACACAACAAATCACAACTCTTTACATTTGAAATACTGCGTTTTCTGGAAAACATACACGAACTTTCGAATGGCGTACATTTTCCCAAAACACTACTCATGAACTCACCAACTTAATTGTTGACACTTTTTCTTTGAAATAACCTGTATTCTCAGGGAACCGCTAAGCAGATTTGGAAATCAACTTTTGGGGATTAACGTACTGACGTTAATTACTTCTTTTGAAAGATGTTTATGTATTTAACTTTTAAACATGTAACGAATACAATTATGTAAACATTTTGGAAACTTTAATGTATATGGTGGTGTGTATTTTCCTTTCTATGAACTGTTATGATACTGAATATGACGTCCTCCGCCCCCGAACGTTTCCGCCGTTCTGGTTTGGGGGTGTGACAGATTGGTATCAGAGCATTGTTTATAGTGAATTGAGTATATCAACCCATAAAAGATATACTAACTATAAATACAATGGGATTAAAAATACTCTGATTTAGAGTTTATACTTTAAATAATAAAATATTTAAGTAAGTATACGTGCGTGCATTCATACTAAAATCAGTGTCACTAGGACAGTACAAAAGAATTACGATTGTTGGGCAACACAAGTGGACTTAGAGGCATATGGTCAAAATTGGGAAGATATAGCCTGATCACCTATATTATCTGAGGGTTGACTAGCATGTGCCTAAGTTTAATTGGGTGGTTGCAACAATGCTATAATCTTACCAACCCTACCACAATGAGAGCAATAGAACATAACTTTAAAATTAAAATACTATAGGAGTATTTGGTGTTACTATAAGTACTTTATACTTGAGAACTAAAACGGGATCTTCATCACTAAGTTGATAGTTGCTAAGTGGATACACTAAGGCTATATGTAATTAGGATGTTATAGACTTAGAATCTGTGAAAATTTTACTTCACCCCTATTCTGTGTGAATACGGAGTTAAGGTCACTTATTCGAAGGTCTATCCTATTTAGATTACACATAGCTGGTATGCACTTCACAAATAGCGATGTAACTAATGAAGGTTTTCTAAATAATTATCTAGATTGTTCGTCTAATAATTATTCTCTTACCCTTAAATTCTCGCATAGAAAACATAGCTGGACTCCATCCCCACGGCAACTAGTATCTTCCGAACGAAGTCATAGTTGGTTGGTTTGGATAAGAACTGGAGAATGATCGTCCTATCCCTTTGAATGATCACCATGCTGAAAACCTTTCGGATGTTGATAACTCCGAACCCGAGGTTGAGAACCTACCCCCGGTAGCCCCATTTCTAAATCCTAACCCTCGTCCCGCTTTTCATGGCCCGACGCCTCCTTGGGTAGAATGCTTGGAAACATGGAGCCAATAGCAAGATCAACCTATGCCGTTTAATGGAGACCGAAACTTCTACAACGTAAACGATGGGAGCTCAGCAGACAGAGTTCTACTAATCCTAATCCGTAGAGTTGACCGAAATGAAATTCAGGGCAGGACGACTCTCCAACGTATCTAAGATGTTAATACCAATGCGAGAATGCATACCCTCTACACCATTCATCTAGAAGATGCTCACGATAGATCAGAGAGAAACCATGAGACCCTACTGCAAGCACTAGCTGAAAAACCAAGCCAAAGTCATAGAGCTCCAAGTACGCCAGAGAGTGTACGAGAGATACCTGCTTGATATGGATCGTCAACTAACTGAACTAAGGGTTCACCATGGGGGTGAAGATCACCAGTAAGAGATACCTTACTTCCTTCTTTGTTTTAACGAACCATGTTCCTGTCTATGTTCTGTGTAGTACTTTCTTTGTGACTACCTTGTACTGTAAGTACTTTTGGTTAGGTCTTTATGATGTCAAGAACTATCTCCTATGGATATGATGTAAGGCCTTTTACAAGGTCATTTTCCCAAACTTTTACATCATAAATATCAAAGGTATTGACAGTCGGCTAACTTCTGTGTCATTCTTTATTCAAGTACTCTTATCATACATTCATTGGAATCTATCTGAATCATGCTTTAGTCAAGTCATTTGACCATAGTAATTTAACTCCGGAGACATTTCCAAGTCTCTTTTAGTGGTTGGATCATGTTATTCACCAACCAACGATACCTCGGCTTGAACGACAATCATCTTGAGACCATTCTATGAGCTAACTTCCACTCATTCTAGGACTACATCCTAGGGATGTAGGTCAACCCTTCATAAACACACTTCCACTCGGTATTAAGACTGCATCATAGGGATGTAGGTCAAACTCCCGCAAACATACTTCCAATCTGTACTAGGACTGCATCGTAGGGATGTAGGTCAAACTTTCAAGAACATAATTTTACTCTTCCCTTGAATAATCGAAGTACACCTAGGGTCAACCAGAATCACTCACAAATTTATTTTCTCTCCGTGAAACAGAATCATGTCGTCATCCAGAAATGATCAGCCGAGCACCGAAACCCCTATCCTCCATATCGATGCCGCTACATTACTAGCTGCAGTAGCAACTGCTGTGACAACTTTCCTTATGCACATCAACTCATGCAACACAATCAAGGCTGAAAAAGGAACCGTGAGTTCCGATGGTAGTACCAAACCGGGAAACCAACAAATGGCAACAGTCATGGAATTGCGAAGCCTAAAGACCGAAAGGAAGAGACGCTATCGTAAAGCCCTAAGGGAGCGCAAGAGAGCCCAAAGACTTTCCATGCCACACCCACCAGTGGCAACTTCGGCAGAACGCTTTAGGAAGCACTTTCCAAGGTGGAGTAATGAGGAAGGCACTCGTGTCCACATAACACTGGC